AAAAAGACAACAAATATTCAAATACCTATGAAATAGAATTCACTCTTTTAGCAAATTCTGGAGTATTCAAACCCAAGACTAAGCACATCAAGTATTGCACTGACTGTTTTGTTTTATGATAATGTTGATGATGATGTGCCTCTGGCATCTCTGGTCAGACATTTCGTTATTCATATGCTAATAGTTATCACACTGCTTGTACAGAGAACAATGTTTGAGGTGACAATCACAACATGCTCATTGAATATGTCAGGAAACTGAAACCAACAACACTAAGGGTTACACCTATAAACAGGAATGTATTCTAATGCTAAATCACATTGCTCTTTTTTATGGAGGGGATTGTTATTACTCTTGGGATGGTTGTGACAAAATTCTGCCTCTTCAGCATGTCTCTGTTACAAACTGAATGCTTATTATTACTATTATATTTTTTATTATATTATTATTTTACAGAATGTATTATTATTGTTGTTATTGTTATCCAGGATGTATTATAATTTTACAGGATATATTATTATTACTGTTATTATACAGGATATATTATTTAGATTATTCAGATTCTGGATATTATTATGTTGTTGTTATTATTATTATACAGGATATATTATCATTATTATTCAGGATTTATATAGCACCAACAGTTTGCACAGCGCTTTACCACATGAGGGCAGACAGTACAGTTACAATACAATTTCATACAGTAGAAATCAGAGGGCCCTGCTCCATAGAGCTTACAATCTAAAAGGGAGTGTTAAGTGATTCAAAAAGGTAATAGCTACGGTTAATGAGCTGATGGAGAAAATATAAGTACAGTTGTTAGGCAGAGGCAGGACAGGCTTCTCTGAAGAGAAATGTTTTCAGGGATAGCCTAAAAGTGGACAGAGTAGGAGATAATCGGACAGATTGGGGTAGGGAATTCCATAGGATGGGAGGGACTCAGGAGACGTCTTGCAGGCAAACATGTGAGGAGGCGACGAGGGAGCTAGAGAGCAGGTGGTCTTGGAAGGAATGAACAGAATGATTTGGTTGGTATTTTGAGAATAGGTTATTGATGTAGCTGGGGGCCGAGTTGTGGATGGCTTTGTAAGTTGTTGGTAGTATTTTGAATTTAATTTGTTGGGCGAGTGACAGCTAGTGGAGGGATTGACAGAGAGTGGTAACAGACACTAAATAGTTGGCAGTGGTGTCCCTGGGGGGTGCGAGCTGCACCGAGTGACACCATCACAGGGGGTACAGAGCAGGATGCCGGCACAGTGACAGCTGCCCCCACCCCAGTGTAGCGGTAAAATGAGTATCCCCTGAAGCAACTGTGCATGTGCCAATTTCGGCCTGAAACCGACACATGCGCAGTTGCTTCAGGGGATACATCTCTTCAAGGGATACTAATTTTACTGCTACACAGGCACCGCTCCTTCCTCTCTGGAGGGGTGACACCCCGTGTTACCGCACCGGGTGACACCAACCCTAGGGACGCCTCTGATAGTTGGTAAGGTGAATGAGCCTGGCAGCAGCATTCATGGTGTACTAAAGGGAGGATAGCCTATGTAAAGGTAAGCCAATGAGGAGGGAATTGCAGAAGTCAAGATGAGAGATAACCAGAGAGGGGATTAGCAGCTTTGTGGTGTCATTGGTTAGGAAGGGGAGTATTTTGAGACGTTGCGGATGTTGAGGCGGCAAGCTTTGGAAGGTGGTTGGATTTGGGGTTAAAAGGAGAGTTCAGAGTCCAGGATTGCACCTAGCACCCAAACATGCAGGGACGGGTTAATAGTTGAGTCAGTGATCTAGATAGAGAAGTCAGGAGAAGGGGCATGTGGGGGAGGAAATATTATGGGCTCGGTTTTGGACAGGTTGAGTTTGAGGAAGTGTTGTGACATCCAGACTGATATGTTGTCAGTAAATTAGTGATGCACTTTACAATATAAAGGGGGACAGCAAACTTACAATAGAATTGAGTACAAGAGGATTAGGAGGGCCCTGCTCATAAGAGCTTACATTCTAAAAAGCAAGTGACACACAAGGTCATAACTGTGGAGATGAGTTGATGAAGAAAGCAAAATTCATATGTTGGGTGAAGGTGGAATAGACTTCCCTAAAGAGATGAGTTTTCAGGAATACCCCTTGTGCAGGAGTAGGCAGACATTGGCCCGCTAGCTGTTGTGCAACTACAATTTCCATGAGGCACTGCAAGATTCTGACAGCCTCAAGCAACACTTGCATAGGCATAAGAGGACTTGTAGTTCCATAACAGCTGGAAGGCCAGAGTTTGCCCACCTAGGGCCTCATTTAGATGGGCGCTGACACCCGTGAATGGGTTTATGCGGATTCAGCCACCAGGGGCCACACTCAGGCAATCTACTCATGTCTATTGGGATGTGGTGGCTGCACAGACACAGGTACTTGTCCCAATCTGATATTCATGTGAGCGGGCTCTAAACACAGACAGTATGGTGGTGTGCTATCCTTCCACACATTCCCCCCTCCTCCTCTCCCTCCTGCAGTGCTGCTCCTCACTGTCTCTTCCTCCTCATCGCTGCATTTCATGATGTACATTTTAGAACAATTCCTACCTTAGAATGTTTGGTGCAAATGCCTGGATTTATTGGTGGACGCTATCGGCCAAGAATAGAAACAGCCACAAACCTGTATTTTGCCTTTACACTTGCCGTTGGGGGCTGCAAAACCCTGCCATGCTTTTACCACCCCTGAACTGCTCCTCTTTAACTGGGAAGGCAGTGTCTGGGTGTGTACACATACCAAGACAGGGATTCTAACCCCGTTGACACAGTCACAATCAGTGACTTTAAGTGATTTCTCATGGCTGGCACTACAATGCATACAACTTGTGTAATGTCATTGATGAGCAGAAGCCCTGAAATCAGCCAATATTTACAAACAATGACCTATTTCTCCTTGTTAATCCCCCACATACCTCAATATTCATCACCACCCAATATGTCTCTGTGGGGGAGATTTACTAAAACTGGAGAGTGCAAAATCTGGTGCAGCTCTGCATAACAACCAATCAGCTTCCAGCTTTTATTGTCAACGCTTAATTGAACAAGCTGAAGTTAGAAACTGATTGGCCACAATGAACAGCTGCAGCAGATTTTGCACCCTCCAGTTTTAGTAAATCAATCCCTGTGTCCGCTCACCTCTGATCCAGTGTATGGCCGTGTGTCATAGAGAAGCTTCACACTAACATAGGGACTGATTTATCCATTCATGAAGACAATGATTACAAAGGCTCCCTCACTCCCCCCATAGCCAAGCTCACATCTCCGTAGAGCCCCCCCAAGTACTATGCACACAGATGACACATACAGACCACTGACACTGAACATCACTCACTCTGACCAGGTCCTGAGGATCCTCCTTAGTGGGGAACCAGGGCAGTTGCTAACCCCATAGCTGGGCGTGCGCACTCCACTCCTGGAAACATGACTTCCTCTTCCTGCATCTCAGGGATGCGTTCCACGGATACTTCCGGGACCATAGGACTAACCCCACAGAGTGTTACTAATATACCTGCCTGTTGAATGTTTCATATCTTCTGCAAAATGTTATGTCCTTCATTCTGTATACGCCACACGTTAGCTGTGATTAAACCGAACATTTTTAACTAAGGCTTGTTCTATAACATATATTGGTCATTTTTCTGAAGTAAAACTGCCTGCACAGAGGAACATGTGACTAAAGCGTGACGTATTGTTGTTCTTTGAGTTTCGGGAGGAGACAATTACGTCTTTCAAGAGAAAAGCGACCAATGAAAGTAGACAAAAGAATTGTACGCCCATTTCGTTACGTCACGAACACATCTAGACATCTTCCTGCGGCTCCAGGAAGTCAGTGTTCGGAAGAGCTCAGGTAAGGAGAGGGGTACTGGGGGTGAGAGGAATGGACGGGGATACCATGTTATTAATAGGGGGAGGTGTGTGGTCTCTGCGCTCACTTATTTTGAGAGGTACGGGTGTGAAAGGCTGCCCCCCCCTCATTGATTCAGTGTTCGGGAAGGCTGCGGCCTGCCGGGGGGACCTGAGCTGTTATAGAGGTTGACATGGGGAGCTGACAGTCGGAGTGAGCCCTCCTCTGTGCACGTGTTTCTGCTACACGGGCATCACGTGGGATATGACTGTATTCGGTCACTGCGTCCAGCCAGGAAAGGCTTTACAACAAATGGCTTGCTGCTAGATCTATAGGAGATTGTAGCATGTGGGGAGCCAAAAAATCTACTGATCACCAGAGCTTGGAGAACAGACAAGTCCCAGGAGACTACGGGGCTGCTTTATTAAGGCAAATAGACTGTTAAGGGGAGGGAATATTTCTCAGATATTAAAGTGTTCCTAAACCCACAACAGTGACATCAGTCTGTAAATGCAGTAAAGGCTTGTTATACTCACTGTGGGACCTAAGGGGTTAATCCTCTGCATTGTGTAAAACGAATGTTTGATCCTGTCTTCTCTGATCCTCCCCTTCTACTGTCCCCAATCCATCTGCTGATAGAGCAAAGCCTTGGGGCAAGCTGCACATGCTCAGTTTAGTGTGTATTACTAAAGACATTTTTTTTTTTCTTGGGAGGGTGCATGCATGTGTTCAGCACTGTCCAGACAGAGAGGTCAAGGGTGCCAGGTGGTGTTTTTTATTGCCTTAAGTCTTTATAGAGGCCTGTGACTGGAGTTCTGCTTTAAATATTATAAGCTTTTTCTCAAAATAATAATGTGATTTTGTAATGATGACCTGCCCCGACATTTTCGAGTTAAGGTTTGAATTAATAAGGCTATCGTAAGGAAAAAGTGCACTTTAAAACAAGGTGTCTGTTGGGTCCAAGAATTTATTAGTTGTTGAATGTATTTACAATTTTAAAGTAAGTGTGTGTTGCATTTTTTTTTTCTTTTTTAATTGTACTGTATAGTCTTATTGTAGTGCAATTTGTTCCTGCAGATGAGCGTATAAAGAGAGACTTGCCTCTGAGATTGATTTGTGACCACACTACAGCAGCTATGAAGATTGCAGTGGAAGGATGCTGTCATGGTGAACTCGATAAGATCTACGAGACTATCCAGTTCCTGGAGAAGAAAGAGAACACTAAAGTTGATCTCCTGCTCTGCTGTGGTGACTTTCAGGCAGTGAGGAATGAGGGGGACATGAAATGCATGGCTGTGCCCCAAAAGTACCGTCAGATGCAGACATTTTACAAGTAAGGCATTTTTTTTTTTTGAATATAACACCATGAGGTTGACTTATTGAAAGCACATAGGTTGTTCGTCTTGCGGGGAAAATTTTTCTCAGTGTTTAGTGAATATGTTGAAATTTTACATTGCAAAGAATACCCAATCACATGCAAGGAAATTGGGGGAGAAAACATTTTTGTTTGCATGTGATTGGATGATCAAAGTCAGCAGAGCTGCACCTGATCCTCTAAGCTTTGGGTAAAATTTCCTTGCAAAGTGAACATTGTTTGCCGTTGGTAAGTCAACCTCAAGATGTGTTCATGCCGCATATTGAGAACTGTACTGGTTGTTTTTATCAGAGTGTGATGTTATGCCCTTCTCCTAACCCTCTCAAGGCAAAATTCATCTTGTGCTAATTGATAAATGTGGGTGCATTTAATAAATGCACCCACATAAAAAAAATGTCAATTTGTTATATTTTTGCATTGAAGCCTGCATCAGTGCATTGTGCAAACTCTCCCTCCAATCCCAGACCCCATATGAAGGTACATACCTTCCATTATGGGGTGGGAGGAAGTAAAAGCTGGACTACAGGTGTGACTACATTGCCACACTTGTGCTGGGAATTGTAGTCTTCCATTCACAGACCCATGTGAATGGATGACTTAGCTATGTGGGTGGAGCCATGCACATCTGCTTCGAATTCAAAAGAAAATGCTACCAAGCATACTGCATGCAGCACAACCTAATCAAATTGAAGAAAAGTATCATATTTTACATTTGTTGCAGGGTGGCTGTATACTTATGGACCCAATAGTCTTTTGTGGGTGTTGGAGTATAACTTTCATGCACTCTCAAGGCTTCTGAATACATTTACATATAATTTTTGGTGAAGAGACATTTGACTCTAAAAAACACAATGTTACTATTTTTGTTTTTAAAAATGAGGACAATTACTTTTGTTAGATGATGGCACTTATATTATAATTCCTTCATTTCAGTGATCGTTTTGTTGTGATCCTGCTATTAACCTTCCTCTTGTGTTAGGGTCGGCACCGACCCGTTTTTAGGTTTTAAATGCATAAAATAACCGTATAAATTTGTTTATTGCATCAAGGCTTATGACTTTGTCAGGAACCTCTATTTCAACAAAATAAAAAACAAAAAATTGTTTTCACTAAATTATAAAATGCTCAAGTTGAAATTATGACCTTTGTGTTGTTAGGGTCGGTTTCGACCCAGTTATAAAAATAAGATTATAAAGCAATAATTAGAGCCAAAACTGAAATCATAAGTTCACTGTCAACCAGCACACTGACAGCCAGCTCCTCTCCCAATCATGTGAGCTTTAGGGGATTCTCATTTTGACTTGCAGAGTGCACATCTCCAATTTGTAGCATGCAAAAATGAGAAGAAGATTTTCATTGAGCCAAGTTCTGGATAATATTTTTGGTGAAAATGAGGGAGAGGACACAGAGGAGCAGAGTGATTTGGATGAGCAGGTTTCTGAGGAGGAAGACAATGTGGAGTATCATCCAGAAGACACAGACACATCTGATGAGGAGGCCACCGGTGCTGAAGCAGCTCCCGCTGAAATATTCAAGTCCTAAAATGGTAAGATCTGTTGGAGCTCAGTACCTCCTGATGTACATGGCAGGGCAGTTGCTAAAAATGTCATCAAAATGACCCCTGGAATCACAAGTTTTGCTGTGATGAGAGTCAGTGACATCAAGACATGTTTTGAGCTATTTATGCCATTGTCACTAAAAAGAGTCATCATTGCTATGACAAACCTTGAAGGAAAAAAAAAGTCCATGGCAGCATGTGGAAAGACATTGATGAGGAATACCTGGATGCCTATATTGGTGTTCTTCTTCTTGCTGGAGTGTACAGATCCTGCAATGAGGCCACTGATAGTCTGTGGGATGCATCGACAGGCAGAAATATTTTCCGGGCAACAATGTCACTTCAGACCTTTCAAATGATATCAAGAGTCCTCAGATTTGACAACGAAGATACCAGAGCAAGATCTGACAAACTTGCTCCCATCAGGGATGTCTGGGAGAGATGGGTGCAGCTCCTTCCACTGATGTTCAACCCTGGGCCAGAGGTGACAGTGGATGAACGTCTTGTCCCTCAACATCATCCACCACAGCCACAACCACAACCCCACTCAGGCCACCTGATTCTAAAAGAAAGAGGTGTCAGGTCTGCCCAAGCAGTAAGGACAGAAAGACAAATGTACTGTGCTTCAACTGCAACAAATATCTCTGCAAAGAACACACTAAAAGTGTCACTTTTTGCCACACATGCATCTAAACACACACACGCACACACATACATGTTCTTGCACACAGACTTTTACTCTGATTTTGTTTTTTATTAGTGTTGGAACAAGTAATTGATTTCTATTGGTTTGATTTGCTTGCTTGATTGGTTGTTGTTTGTTTGACCTTGCAAATCTAGATTTGGTTATATTTATGATAGATATAGATAGAGATATATATATATATATATATATATATATATATATATATATTCTGTGTTTTTCATTTTGTGTTTGTACTAAAGTTCTATTGCTGAAAAAAAGAGACTTTTTTGCCTTTTTGAAGTAATTATATATATATGGGTCAAACTGACCCGTAACACCATAGATGTTACTAAAGTTAATAATATTAAAATGAAAAAATAAACAAAACAAATTTATTTCAGGGATGTGTTCTAAATCCCCTCAGTAATAGTCAGGTGACATAACACCTTTTATTTATTTATATGATTCTCTTGAGGTTCATTTTACATTGTTTTTTAATTGAAATCGAGGGGTATACTGACAAAAAAAAAAGGCCCAGGGGCCAACACCAAAATTATTAAAAACAATATTTTCATGGATAAGGAAGCCTAACAAGGTAACCAAGATATGAGAAACAAATTGGATGATAGATAACTGTTTTTAGTATATTTTACAGCTGATTTAAGACACGGGTCAAAACCGACCCGTTAACATAAGAGATGGTAACAGGAAACTAACACAAGAGGAAGGTTAAATTGGTAGCATAATGGTAAGGAGGTTCAAATGCTACAGTATCTCACATCCGTATACAGAATTAAATGTATGATTATGTTGTTTCATAGATATTACTCTGGAGAGAAGAAGGCTCCAATACTTACAATCTTCATTGGGGGAAATCATGAGGCATCCAATCATCTCCAAGAGTTGCCTTATGGAGGCTGGGTTGCACCAAATATTTACTACTTGGGTAAGTGTTTTTGCAGCATGTTCTGCTTTGATTTAGCTCTCCATGTGCATCTTTATCTGCACAACTGTGGGGGGGGGGGAAACTGCTTGTTTATACACAACTAAATCTCATGTTTTGGATACTAGATCAATTTGCTTCTAAAAACCGTCTCATTTTACAAGGGTCAAGTGATTTGTCGTTGTCTTCTAATGTAAAATAATCGCAGTTTCCATGACCATAGATATTTCTTGGCACAGCTAGCTTTACAAGTGTGTGGGGTTTTTTTTTTTTTTTTTTTTTTTTTTTTTTTGTGCAATAAAAATCAAAACTCCAGGCAAAAAATTTGTTTTTAGTTTTGGATAGAGAGGTTTTTATTGCTCTAATATTTCTACTCACGTGCTGCCCTGATGATCCCTGTCATGCAGGGTATTATCAGCACACTCCTGACTGAGTTTCAACCATTTCCTGAGAGGTCCACTTTACAAACCACGTGCTACTAATAACTGTTTAGCCATTACAGTGGCTTTGTATTTGAAATGTAATATTCAATATTTTTTTTGTTTGGGCTTTTTAGGATATGCCGGGGTAGTGAAGTATCAAGGTGTAAGAATTGGAGGAATTTCTGGGATCTTCAAACACCATGACTATAGAAAAGGTAATAAATAACTGGCATCATTGTTTCTGTGTTTTCTTATGGTTTATTAAATAATATATACAGAAAGCAGCAGTATAGTCTTATGAAAACAGTCTGCTTTATTTGCATCAAATGGCTTTCTTCAGCTTCAGAACAGACTGTGAGCATGATCCTTCTTTCTGCTTCTTAGCTGCCACAGAGAGCCTTCCTCCTCTGGCTCCAACACAACCCATTCTAAGCTCACCTGTGCTTTAAAAAGCAGGTCGGAGTAAAGTAATTTCAAACACAATATTACAGAGACTGATCATTTTATTTCTTACTTGCAGTGTTTTAACCCGAAACTGAATATGGTTTGGTGTGTTTTTTTTTTTTGTATTTTCTCTCGCTGAACTGTAACCAGTATTCCTCCATGTGCTGTTTTGCAAAGACTAGAACTCCGTCAGTGGAGTTTGAGATATGTTATTGGTGCTCTCTCATTAATAGTTCTGTACATTACATATTCTGTTGTTCCTTTAGGTCATTTTGAACACCCTCCATATACCAAAGATTCAATTAGAAGTGCTTACCATGTGCGGAACATAGAAGTCTTTAAACTCAAACAGGTATGAACTAGATCAGGGGTGCCCAAAGAATTGCATAGGAGAACTGAAAACCCAAGCTGGGACTGGAGTGAAGGTCATACACCGTCCAACATACTGTTTCTATGCATGCAATGTATTGATGCTTGGGACATAAGAAAATTTTGAAACACGCAAAGTAGATGGAATGGCAGCCACAATCGCTTCACTACATTTACAACTTTCTGACTGATCTTGTACAGATTACCTTTTCATGTAGTCACCTTGTTGAGATGTGCCACTGCATGTGTGTGACAATAGCTGTATATGGTATTTTAAATTCCAGCTCCAGACTAAACTTTCTATTTAAAGTGGAGGTCCAGGCTTTTCCTAACTATGCTTAAACCTGCTCCCACCCCCATTCCAATGCCTATTCGAACTCCTTGTTGTGCCTATACATCTGTTCCTAGGAAGTGTGTGTGTGTGTGTGTGTGTGTGTGTGTGTGTGTGTGTGTGTGTGTGTGTGTGTGTGTGTGTGTGTGTGTGTGTGTGTGTGTGTGTGTGTGTGTGTGTGTGTGTGTGTGTGTGTGTGTGTGTGTGTGTGTGTGTGTGTGTGTGTGTGTGAAATGTGTCATTCATAGTAGTAAGGCTACTTTCACACTGAGGAGTTTTTGAAGCGTTTTTGCATTTAAAAAAAAAATCACCTGAAAAGCTCAAGAAAATGCTTCCCTATGTATGTGAATGCATATCTATCTATTGCAGTGTGGTGTAAAAACTCCCCCTTGCAACATCCTTGGGGCATGTTTCGTGAGTTAAAAAAAAAAAAAAATGCCTCTTCCCATTGAAATCAATTAAAAGTGCCTCAAAAACGCCTCTGAGAAGCTTTTTTTGGTGCAGTTTTTAAGTCGCATGTCCTTTTTTTAAAAACGCTTAGCACGGCAAAAGCGCAGTTAAAAACGCCTATGCGTTTTTGCGGTGGATCAGTGTGAAAGTAGCCTAATAGTGAAAGGCCAAGATTAATTGGTATGTGTTACTGCACTTTTTTTTTTTCTTATCAAACACCAGATCAGTCTATCACTTTACCCTTTTACTATTATTTTCTAATGTCCATTGCTATGACAAATGCATTTAGATGAAATTGGAAAATTGTCCTCATGTAAAAATTGCCTAGGGCTTTAGTTTCCAACACGTTTAACACTTTTATCTAATTTCAGTAACGGAGTGCATTTGAATATACTTCTCTATGGCAGCCAAGTGCTGTTGTATGGAAGCAACATTACTATTCACTCTAGGGAACAATTCCCCAAAGCCTTTAGCCTTTTGTGTGTACGTTTATGGTAGCCGAAGACTCCCTGCTTTAACATATAATTCGGATAAATGTAGAGACAAATATTTACACAAACAAGTACATGCATTTTATACATACAACGTGTAACCTAATGTTACTATTTCCCCATTTATACATATGTCCCTCTAAATAGGGTCAGTAAGTCATCACACCTCCTAGGAAAGAGCAGTGCTATAAAATGCAAAACATAAAGCAGGAAAGACAATAGCTTATTGCACTCTGCCTGCAAAAAAGAAAGTGTCAGGCTACACTTTGGGCACCCCTGTACTAGGTTATTGTATTATACGTATAATTAGCATGTTGCTTCTTATTTTCTCACATGATCCAAAAAATCTTAGTCTTAATTTAGGCTGTCCTACATGTGATAAATATCCCCTAATATTAAAAAACAACCCTGCTTTGTAATAATTATTACTTCAGAGACTAGTTATCGCAGGGTCATGGTGGTTAACTAAATGATCAGGGTCTCCTTCCTAAAAGTATATCTATATCTCTAAAAAGTACCTGTTCAAATGCTAGTATTATTGCAGGCATGTATTTGCATGCCTTAAAAGGGCTCCACAAACTGTATTTTTTGTCTCTTGGGAATCACTTTTAGTTATTAGATGTCAAGAATTAAGTGTATAGCTTCAGAACACTGTGCTAATAACTAATAATCTATATATTTTTTTTTTTTCTCCTTCATTCAGATAAAAGAGCCCATGGACATCTTCTTGTCTCATGACTGGCCCCGTAGTATCTATCACTATGGTAACAAGAATCAGCTACTGAAGAAAAAAGACTTTTTCAGGCAAGAGGTAGAAAATAACACTCTGGGCAGCCCAGCAGCTGCTGAACTTCTCCACCATCTTCAGCCATCATACTGGTTTTCAGCTCACTTGCATGTTAAGTTTGCTGCTTTTATGCAGCACCAGGTAAGAAATATCCCTGTTTTCTTGTATTCATCCTTATGTTGTTTTTCATCTTGTTTTATGTCGCCACCCTGTTTCTCACATCTTACAATCCAGAGCGTGCTTTGCATTTATTGTGAAAATGCAAAGCATTTCTAAATGGCGCCCGTGTCAAGCAGCTGACCTGTATTCAGAATGCAACAGGGTAGATGCGTGGCATGTGACTTTAAATCTAGTGGAGATTGCTGGAGTAGCAGTGGCTACTACAGTGATTTTCAGCTTGTAGAGGGATCCCACAGGTATGTTATGTGAAAAGTTACATTGGTTCAGGCTGGACCAATGTAACTATGTAATAAACAAAAGGAGACTCCTCCCTCTATTACAAGCAGTGAGTGCTTTCACGTACCTTGCATTCTGAAAACCTCTATAAACAATTTTATGAAAACTGGAGCAGATCTGTAGCTTTCTTGTCCATAATGACCAAATCATTTTGGTTTCATTAGAGAGACTGGGGAATAAAGCCTATTTATTCTCCAATAATTTTGTTCTGGTTTTCATAACTATTCTACGCATGAAGGTAAAAAACCTGGGTGCTGCTGCTAGGCCCGCTGGCCCAAAACTCACCCTAGCCCCCTCTGGATGCAGTGATGTGTACGGGACCATCGGTTGCCCCAGGTCTTTCTCTCCTCATTGGCTGAGACACAGCAGCGGGAGCTATTTGCTCCCACTGCTGTAAATCACAAGCCAGTTAGCCAATGAGGAGACAGTGGGGGCAGGGCTGAGCTGTGGCTCTGTGTCTTATGAACGCATAGAACGAGGCTCGGGAGCAAGCATGCACAGTGCCCCCATAGCAAGCGGCTTGCTATTGGGGGCACTCGGTGGAGAGGGGGGGGCAGGCAGGACCCGAGAAGAAGAGTATTGGGGCTTCTCTGTTCAAAACGATAGCACAAAGCAGGTAAGTATAACATGATTGTTATAAAAAAAATAAACCCATGACGCCCTCCCAGATATGGAAAACCACGCTGTGGCCGTTGTTTGACTATAGTGCGGTTGGCAAGTGGTTATATCACTTTAAATACTATTAGTATCCTGCTGTAAACCTATTAGTCAGTTGCCCTTCGCCCTATAGCAGAAATACTGCTACAGGGCTACGCAAAAGTGTGTGTGTGTGTGTGTGTGTGTGTGTGTGTGTGTGTGTGTGTGTGTGTGTGTGTGTGTGTGTGTGTGTGTGTGTGTGTGTGTGTGTGATTTTGCATTTCAGGGTAGGGGGTGCATGCCGGCCTACCCGTGCCACCATTGGTAGCTACAGATGGCGATCACCTGGTCCTGGACAGAGATTCCCCGGCGGGCACCTGGCGATTGGCAAGAGACTTACCAGCAGTAACATGCTGCTGTGTTTCTCTGCACAGCAGCATTTTTTTTTCCCCAGTAAAACACACCGTAAAACAGCAAATGGCACACAGTTAACCCTTTGATCGCCCCAGATGTTAACCCCTTCCTGCTCAGTGTCATAATGCCCACTATAAGTTGCTGATTTTTTTTTAAGACGCTATAACTTTCACATAAACCAAATTTACATGTATTGGGATTTTGTTTTTGTTTTTTTTAGCAAAGACATAGTAGCAGAATACATTTTGGCCTAAATTTTATGACCAAATTTTAGTTTTTTTTTTTTGTTTTTTTAATTTTACTGGTTTGGTTTTAAAACAAAAAGTTACAAAAAAAATTTGTGTGTGTGTGGAAAGGACATAACTTTCATTTATGTACAGTGTTGCATGGCTGTGCAATTGTCTGTGGTTTTTTTTTTTTTTTTTTTTTTTTTTTTAAAGTACCTCAGCGTCATCTCACAAAAAATGGCCTGGTTAGGTAGGGGGGTAAATCCTTTGGAGTGCAAGTGGTTAAACAAAAAAAAAAAACATTCATTTTTATTACTGCTGTGGGTTAACAAGAATATTTTCCCTTACAGAACAAAGAAGGAGAATTGCCCAAAGCAACCAAATTCTTGGCACTAGATAAGTGCTTGCCACGTCGGGAATTTCTCCAGGTGAGACTGGTTTTCTGTTAAGTATTTGGATGTTGTTTTCTGAAACTTACTGATAAGCTTACCCATCTATTTTATACTTCATTGTACCTATTTTGGCACTGATTTGGTAATCAACATCACATCTGCCTTATAGCCTTATATGCCCTAAGTGTCAAGGGGCCCATGTTCCTTTCTCTACTTGCACTAGGCTTGTCCACAGGTACGGGGAAGTCTTCCTGCTCCTTTTTTGTTGAATGCAATGCACTCCCATCCTATTTGAATGAAACTTGTTAGAATACGGGAGGATTCCCACGTTTCAATCAAATGTGTGGATGGGTGAATCAAGTCAGTAATATTTATTAATTTTTTTTTTTTTTTTTTCCGTTCATCCCACTGGTTGAATTGAAAAAAACAAAAAAAAAAAGGGACTCGTTTATGGCCAGCCTTAAGTACAGCTCCTACTATGTTGCACATACGTGCATGTTTTTTTCAGCATTTATGTTACTATATTTCAATACTATTAAAGACTATTTAAATAAAAAAAAAATTGTACATAGGATTTCATATTAGTTTGTTTTTAATTAGATTGTTGAAGTGAAGCATGATCCCAGCAAATCTAACTGCTTAGAGTATGACCTTGAATGGCTTTGTGTCCTGAAAGCTACTAAAGACCTTCTCAATGTAACTTCAAATACATGGAACATGCCTGAGAACAATGGACTGCACAGCAGGTGAGTAAATTAACACTGTTCAAGTATGAAGGGATCATTCAGGCATCATACGCCATAATGTTGCCATTGCACAGAGTAAACCATAGATATGGGTCTATAGATTAGCAAACCCCTCCCAGTTTTATTTGTGATAACTACTTTTTCTACCGTTTTTAGTTCTGGTCCTGAGGACCAAACAGTTGCTGCTTGGTTACCTTTTTGAGTCAGAAAAAATTAATTTCATATAGGGAGATATTGGTGGTAATGCAGATTTAGACATCAGTGGTCTAATGTGACATGTTTGGAATTATTTAGGTATCGAATAGAAATTTTTTAAATTTTTTTTTTTTTTTTCTTCAATGCACTAATAATGCCAGTTGAGAGACTATGGAATGTTTTTTAATTTAGAATGACAAAACATTTGTGCAAGTCTGTAATAAAATTGAATTCTGCACTACATAATCAAGTTGACCTAGTACCTAATAGCAGTCCTATTGGTTCATAAATTTAAAATAGTATACAGCGCCAATGATGCAATATGAACACAATTATTTAATATACTTCAATTGAAAATTAAATATTATACTACATAATGTACAATAATAAACATGATGTTCCTTGTAAAACGCACACAATAAAACAAAGATTCGGTGTCCAATCATTCCTAATAATATATATGCAATCAAGACGACAGTGCAAACACCAGTTCATCCAGGAAAAGTGTGAATAGTGTGTATTCCCTCTCCGCACCCAATCAGTGTTATGTCATTCTCCAGATTCATAGACCTATAGTAAGCTTCACAAGTGCCAAATTGGGAACAGTAGTTCATGCCTTTTTCCTATTTGCAGCTTCTATAAAGTGTAAACTTTTATTTGTTTTCCCATTAATCTGCCTATATTATGACTTTATGTTCTTTTATTAGAATTATAATGTTGGTGTTGTTTAATGACAGGTGGGATTACAGTACTACTGAACAAATGAAGCAAAAAGTCTTGACAGATTTAGGCCATGACCTTGCTATCCCATGCAACTTCAGTGCCAGCCTTCCTTGTTATGACCCAAACAATCCTCAGCACAAGAGAGTGGCTTCTCACATTATTAATCCTCAGACCACAGAGTTCTGTGCCCATTTCGGACTTCTTGACATCAATGCTAAAGTCGGACAACTAGATGATGAGGGTGGAGAGTTTGATGCTGCAGAAGATAATGACGCAGAAAGCAATGGATCCCTAGAAGATCCTAGTGAATACAGCACTGACACTTCTATCCTGTCTTCTTCAATTAATCCTGATGAGATCACTCTGGAAGACGATGATGAAGAAGATGAGGAAGGCATCTCTGTGCGTTCTTTGGAGCCCTCTCCAGAATATTCCCCAAGCTTCTCTAATTTCCGTGTTTTGCCAGATTCTATGGCTGTTTCTTCAGATGATGCCATGGATTCAACCAACGATGAACAGGAACGTTCAGAGAGCAGTCACACTGACGGTGAAGGAAAAAACCCAGAAAGGCAACTTAAGAGACTGAGTGACGAACATGGACAAGGTAATGTGAGGATTAAAAGAAGGAACCAGGCCCTCTACACAGCTCAGGACGAAGTAGAGTAGCCGGATCGGAACTTTCTCTGGATTGTGGACTATTTGGGCTGCTTGAAAGCTATTATAAACTTGCTGGCAACATCTTTGGCACAGGGTATTGTTTTGTGATGAGCTTTAAAAATTAATTTTACTTTTTACTGTTTTAATATGGTCAACATGGAATATCATCTGACTGAAGATGATCAGCTATTCTATTCTTTCCAATTTTTAGTTTTTTTTTTTTTTTTTTGTTTTTTTTTTTGTTGCAGTAGAGTAGCCCCATCCAAAATGAATTTGTCTTTTAGTTTGAGTGGAAGCTGGGGTTGATTTTTTTTTTTTTTTTTTTTTTTTTTTTTTTTTTTTTTTCCCACTCCCCAGCACGGGATCAAACCCTGCTCCTTTCAATCAAAACTGGAAAGGCGTGTTTTGGGTGGGGTTGCTCATTAAATGTGCCCTTCTAAGTTCCATTGCAATTATGCAGTCCTAAGGGGAAAATTTTGTCTAGTGTATATATTTAAGAAGTTTTTTAATTTGTAAATGTTATTTTAATGTAATTTCCTGATATGTATATACATACAGTATATGTAAAATAAATCAGGACTATTTGGGGAAAACATGTTTTTTGTTTTACTTGTCTTACTATGTATTTTGAGTCCTTGTGATTTGAAATCATTTTTCTCAACGTGTGAGGGAGGAACTAAGACTTTGCAGTCCATTTTGTAGCACAAGATAATGAAATGGAAAATCTGGTTGTTATAGGGCAGCAGAATTTGGACAAGACAATTGTTGTTTTTTCACAGTTTTGATAAATGAAGATGGCTCAGACTTGGATATGGAGAATCTATCTTATCAATCATAAGTTTTAGGGCACATTACATGGGTATTTTTTTATGTGCCAGGATGCCTTTTGATGTGCACCATATTTGGCAAGGGAGATGGTTCTTCTGAATCTTGAAAAGGATAATCTTGGTTATCGAAAAAAGGGTTTGTGACACACAAAGCCAAATTGTATAATCTAAAAGCGTCCCTGTTACTTCCTCCAGTTCAATAAAATCCTGTCTCCCTGCTTCTTTTTGTTGCATGCAATGTACTCCCATCCTATTTGAATGGAACTTCTTTACGGGGAGTGAAAATGAACAGGTGAATCTTCTGCTCTGTCCGGGATCTGCTTTTCATACATGCAGTCATGAAAAGTTGCACTTCTTTTTTCCATATTCAGACTGAAAGATTGCTTTGCAAGTTTTATAGGAGTTTTATAGCAAAACAAAGCCAGTTTCCTAGTAAAAGCAAAACTATGTGATCTAACCAAAACTTAAATATTTTCTTTGTGTGTTTATTTAATATATTCTCCCAAGCGAGTCGCTGCAAATCAATTAGTGTTCCCACACCAAATTTGAAAGCAATATTTAAATAGTTTTGCGCTACTCTATAACAAAGCAAAAATGTAATCACAACATCATATAAAACACATTGATCATAAAAGAAGTCCCATGTGAGTACATGTATGCAAAAATAATAATGAGCAATCTTCTATACTTCTTCAAATAGTCATCTTGCTTGTGTCAGTGCTCCATACTTAATCACGTGCTCCACCAAAACTTGAATAGTGCTCTCCTGAACAATTAGACATATAGATGTATACAGGTCTCGCTTGCATGTATTTCACCAAACTGGGCTCCAGGTGGCAGCAAGTCCCTTTTTTTTTTTTTTTTTTTTTTTTTTTTTTTTTTTTTTTTTTTTTTTTTTTTAAGATATCCTTAGACACTGGTGGCTTATTCATTTTAGATTTGTGGTACCCAAATTCTCCATCACTACAAATTGGCATCACCATATGGAAAAGAAAAAGTAAGCCTCCAATCGTGTAATAACATTTTTATTACTTTCATAAGTTAAAAACCGCAATAAATGCACTTACAATGATCTTGCCAGCATCCTAAACAGACACAAACTTCTAGTTCTCGGCTCCATGCTAAAAGTGACATCATTAAGCTCTGCCCTATGCATAACACCACCAACCCACGTGACAGTTGTGTCTGTTTAGAAAGCTGGTGATATCTTTCTACATTGTAAGAATATTTATTGCGTTTTTCAACTTATGAAAGTAATAAATGTTATTACACGACTGGAGGCTTCCTTTTTTACCTTTTCCATATGATTATTCTGGGTTCTAGTGATGAAGCATTTGGGTGCCATAATTTCCAAATGAATTGGCCACCAGTAACTAAGGATATCTAAAAGAGGGACTTGTTCCGCCTGGAGTACATTTTGGTGAAATACGTGCTAGTGAGGCGTGCATACATCTAGATGGGTCCAATTGTTCAGGTGAGTGGCCATTTCTTCTGGTGGGGAATACTGTTCATGTTTTTGGAGGTGCACGTGATTAACTGTGGAGCACTGACACAAGCAAGATTAATATTTTGAAATATAGAAGATTGTGCACTATTATCTTTACAAATATGGACTCGCATGGGCCTTATTTTATGATCAGTGTGTTTTTTTTTTTTTTTGTTTTTTTTTTTTTTTTGTTTTTTTTTTATGATGTTGTGAATGACCTTTTTTGCTGTGTTTTAGAGTAGCGCAACACTAATTATTTTAATAAAGCCAGTTTCCTACACCCTAGGCTGGAGTGTCCTAGACTAGGACCCATTCACACTTTAGCATTTGCTGTGCCATATCACATACCCTTTGGTGCCATTAATTTTCATTGGTATCCCAACAAACTAAAGGGAACGCACCTCTATTTCAGCATAATAGGCTACTTTGAACTACATTACAAAAAGATGGTAAATTTATTTTTCTAGTCTGTTGTGTGTTGGCTCAAAATCCTTTTTATAATGGTTTTTATTTTCATACATGCAAATGTATTGGGAACACTGCACAGTCTATTCCAAATCAGAACATGAAGAAAAATGTTTCAGATTTGTTATTACTTTACAGAAAGTGAAAGGAATATTGGGCTCAAACATTTTACTGTATAAACTGAAAAATGCTTGAAGATTTTGCTTTCCTGTAAATCAGTGAACGAATATTTAGTTACATAACTGTTTGTGAGAACTGCTTCACATCTGTGTTGCATTGAATTGACCTACTTCCAAGTATTCCAGTCCAGCATGATTGTACTACATTCCACAATTCCTCTGCATTTCTTGGTTTTACCCCAGAAACTGCATTTTTGATGTCACCCCACAAGTTTTCTATAGGATTAAGTTCTGGGGATTGGGCTGGCTGCTCCATAACGTCAATCTTGTTGCTCTGGAGCCAAGATGTTGCACGTTTACTGGAATGTTTGGGGTCATAGTCTTGTTGAAACACCCATTTCAAGGGCATTGCCGATAGGGCAACGTGACCTCTTCAAGTATTTTGATGTATTCAAACTGATCCATGATCTCTGGTATGCAATAAATAGGCCTAACACTATAGTATGAGAAACATCCCCATATCATGATGCTTGCACAACCATGCTTCATTGTGTTCACAGTGTACTGTGGCTTGAATTCAATGTTTGGGGGTCGTCTGACAAACTGTCTCCGGCCACTAGACCCAAAAAGAACAATCTTACTTTCATCAGTCCACAAAATGTTGCGCCATTTCTCTTTAGGCCAGTCAATGTGCTCTTTGGCAAATTGTAACCTCTTCAGCACATGTTTGTTTTTTCAACAGTGGGACTTTGCGGGGGCTTCTTGCCAATAGCTTGGCTTTACATACAGTTGCAAGAAAAAGTATGTGAACCCCTTGGGATTACGTGGAGTTTTGCATGAATTGGGCATAAAATGTGCTCTGAACGCCATCTAAGTCACAACAATAGAAGAACACAGCCTGCTGAACATAATACACAAACATTAGATGTTGCCATGGTTTAATTGCACATAACATGTAAACATTCACAGTGCAGGGAGGAAAAAGTATGTGAACCTTTGGACTTAATAACTGGTTGACCGTCCTTTGGCAGCAATAACCTCAACCAAACGTTTCCTGTAGTTGCAGATCAGACCTGCACAACGATCTGGAGTCATTTTGGACCACTCCTCTTCACAAAACTGTTTCAGTGTAGCAATATTCTTGGGATGTCTGGTGTGAATCGCTCTCTTAAGGTCATGCCACAGCATTTCAATCGGGTTGAGGTCAGGACTCTGACTGGGCCACTCCAGAAGGCGTATTCTGTGCTGTTGCAGCCATTGTTTTGTTGAATTACTTGTATGCTTTGGGTCATTGTCCTGTTGCATCACCCATCCTCTGCGGAGCTTCAGTTGGCGGACAGATGGTCGTACGTTTTTCCTGCAAAATGTCTTGATAAACTCTGGAATTCATTTTCCCATCAATGACAACAATCCGTCCAGGCCCTGAGGCAGCAAAGCAGCCCCAAACCACGATGCTCCCTCCGCCATGTTTCACAGTGTGGATGAGGTTTTGATGTTGGTGTTCTGTGCCTTTTTTTTCTCCACACATAGTGTTGTGTGTTTCTTCCCAAACAACTCAATCTTGGTTTCATCTGTCCACAGTATATTTTGCCAGTAGTGCTGTGGAACATCCAGGTGCTCTTTTGCAAACTTCAAATGTGCTGCAATATTCTTTTTTGGACAGCAATGGCTTCCTCCGTGGTGTCCTCCCATGTACTCCATTCTTGTTTCATGTTTTCCTTATTGTAGATGTGTCAACAAAAATGTTAGCATGTGCCAGAGATTTCTGTAGGTCTTTAGCTGACACTGGGATTCTTCTTTACCTCATGCAGCATTCTGCGCTGTGCTCTTGCAGTCATTTTTACAGGACGACCACGCCTAGGGAGAGTAGCAACAGTGCTAAACTTTCTCCATTTGTAGACAGTCTGTCTTACCGTGGACACATGAACATCAAGGCTTTTGGAGATACTTTTGTAACCCTTTCCAGCTTCATGCAAGTCAACAATTCTTGATCGTAGGTCTTCTGAGAGCTCTTTTCTGCGAGGCATGGTTCACATCAGACAGTGCTTCTTGAAACCAGTAAACCCAAAACAGGTGTGTGTTTTTTAAGGGCAGGACAGCTGTCAGCAACAC